TTTTTAGTTTGCGATCAATTATATCTTTCGTATTTTTCGGTAGAGACGGGTCTCGCCTCGGCTGTTCGAACTCCTGAACTTGGAGCATCCCGCCCCCGCCTCGGCCTCCCAAAAGTGCCTAGGATTTACAGGAGTAACCACCGCGCCCCGGCCGTTCCTTGGTGGTTTTGGAGGTCTTCATCATAAATTCTTTGCCTAGACTACATGTCTAGAAGCAATTTTCCCTAGGTCATTTCTAGTACTTTTATAATTTCAGGTCTTACATTTAATTCCTATCCATGCTGAATTATGTACATGGCTGATGATTTTAATTTTGGCCCATTACATTCTTCTGCATAGTGGCCTCTCAATTTTTCCCAGCACCTATTTATGAATGGGAAACTACTTTCCCCAGCATCATTTTTCAATCAATTTTGTGACACCAGTTGTTTGTGGTATGTGGGCTTTGATTTCCTGTTCCGTGTATTTCTGTTCCATTTGGATCTAGGGGCTGTTTATATATACCGACTGCCCATGCTCTTTTTGGTCACTATCTTGCATTTGTTGGGTACAATTTGAAGGCTTGGAGATGGTGATGTTTCTCCACGTTTTCTTTTTGCTTAGGATTGCTTTGGGGATTTTGGGCTCTTTTTTGCGTTCCCTTAAATTTAGGGACTTTTAATTCTAATTTCTGTGGAAACATGATTTTTCCGCGTTAATTGATAGGAATTCATTGAATTTATTAGGATGTGTTTTTGGCAATATAGTAGTTTTAAGATATTGCTTCTTCCAATCTATGACTTTGGGATGTTTTTCCATTTTTTCTTGTCTCTACAATTTCTTTCATTAGTGTTGTTATTTTCTCCTGTAAGATCTTCATTCTCTTGTTAAGTGTTTCTAGGTATTTCCATTGTTTTTGAAGGTATTGTAAATGGAATTCAGTTCTTGATGTGGTTGCTGGTTGATGGTTATTTATGCACAGAAAAGCTACTGATTTTTGCGTGTTAATTTTGTGTCCTAAAAAACTTGCTGATTATTTATTCAAATCAGGTGTCTTTTGGAGTCATCCTTCAGGGTTTCTTTGCATAAGATCATATCTTTACAAACAGAGGTAATTTGACTTCTCTTTCTAGTTTGTTTGAAATATACAAATGGCTAAGAGGTACATGAACAAATTCTCAACATCAAGAATCATCAGGGAAATGTCCATCAAAGCCATGATAAGATACAACCTCATCCCAGCTAGAAGGGCTATTACCAAGAGTCAGAAAATATCCATTGCTGACAAGGATTGGAGAGGGGGAACACTTACGTAAATTAGCACAGTCATTATGGAAAACAGTAGGTAGTTTCCTTAAAAAATTCAAGATAGAACTATCATATGATCCAGCACTTCCACCACTGAGTATTTATCAAAAGGAAATGAAGATATTATGTCAAAGAGATATCTACAATCTCGTGTACTGCAGCACTAATCACAATAGCCAAGACAGGAAATCCATTTAAGTGTTCACAAATGGGTGAATGGATTTGAAAAGGTGGTATGTCTACACAGTAATACACTATCTTGTTTATTCAGCTGAAAACAAGAAGGAAATCCTATGATTTGCAACAATATGGATGGACTTAAAGGACATTATATTATATGAAATATGTTAGGCACAAAAAGATAAATATCTCATGATCTCACTCATATGGAATCTAAAAAAGTTGATTTTACAGAACTGTAGAGCTGTATGGTGTTTATCTGAGGCTGGGGCAGTTGAGGGAGGAAGGGTGGGGAGATGTTTGTCCAAGGATACAAAATTGCAGTTAGGAGAAATAAATTCAAGAGATAATGTACCATAGGGTGACTATATTTTCTGATGATATATTGTATTCTTGAAAAATGCCAAGAGAGTAGATGTTAAATGTCCCCACCAAAAAGGTAATAACTATGTGAGGTATTGCATATATTAATTAGCTAGATTTAACTATTCTCTAACGTATATATACTTCAAAACACCATGTACATGATGTTGTACATCATTGTACATGATAAATGCATTTTGTCAACTTAAATAGGTAAGTTTTGGAAAATTAAATAAGATAATTTTTATAAGATGCTAATTGTAGCATAATTTGCATAAAAGAGGCATAAATGTACCTCTTAAAATTACCAAATGTTTTATAAATGAAGAATTAAATGACAGTTCTTGACCTCTGCCCTAAATATGAAATTTCTAATTCTTTTGGCAAAAGCATCGTGAAGCCAAGTGATGTGATACCCATGGTTTTCTATGAAGAGAATACAATTCACTGCCTTGTTGAGGCAGTGAAGGACTTTTCTAGAGATGTTAAGGGCTGTGTTCCCATCACAATCCAATGCTTTGGAGACTCAGGGGTCTCAGTCAAAACAAGGTCCTCAGTTTAGACTTTGGAGAAGACTTTAACTCAGGGTTGCAATGAGCTGTTACAAGGTTAGATCTCAGGAAGGCAAAGAAGTCCATAGAGAAGGACTAATAAAGGCTGAATTCACCCCATGTTTAATACGCTGTCTTGGGAACAGAGAACACAGGAGAAAAATGTTTCTTTCACTGCAGAGCAATGTCCCACAGGGACATGATGTGGTCAGGGTTGCAATAACAAGAGGGAAATATGCCTAATGAGCAGGTTTTCAAAGCTGTAAAATCTCCTCCTCTGCTGTTCTACCTCAACATATGCAATCCTTTTTTATTTCAGCATATTC